AATATTTTCCTTCTTTGAGGTTTCCTCTGCACAACATTACTAAACCCCAAAGATACATACCCTTATCGTATTTTCCATAAGCGGATTGGCACATGTGAGGTGATTGAGTGCTTTGATTGATTTGTGGTGGAAGAAGTACTGATTTATTCCCTTACTATTAAGATGAGCTTCAGCTGATAGGTGTCCGATATGGGGGGGGAGGGGGGGCTGGTGTGCGTGGTAGATATTTATCTTGTAGCCAAGGCTGCCGTGGTTCAGATACTGGAGGTGAGGTACAAAGATTAAAGAGTAGGAATAAGTACATAAATTGTTTTACAAAAGAGTAAGTTATCAAAGTCATAAAGAATTAGTTTGCATCCCCTTTGGACCAATTTTTTTTTATTTTTATGACTTCTTTTGGTTACATATGATGATGATGCGGTAGAGTGTTCAGAAACACTAAGATTTTTGGGAGATCTCCCGTGGTTGCTTTGCCATTAAATTCAACTGGCGTCTTCACCATTTTTCTGAAAATCGTAATGGTTGAGTAATTAGGAATCAAGAGGTTGCATCAGAACTGTGTAGTGAAAGAATGTAGGAGATACGTAATTACTGGCTTTTGCAATTACACTGCATTTACAGTGTGAGCTAATCATTCAGTTGGGAGGCGTGTACACACCGCAATGATAAACTTTAATTTGTAAGGTTATAGCTTCTTAAATCCATTTTTTGTTAATTTTTAGCAGTTTGTTATTTATAAACTTGTCTTCTAAGCGTATAGGATGTGTCAATATAGGTTCTATAAGCTCTGAAATGTGTCTATTTTTTTATGAGATGTGCAAGTGTTCATAATTTTCTGTAATGGTAACTTCTTAATTTTATTATTTTGTGTTAATTAATTATTATCAGTTTGTTACTTATAAATTTCTCATCTAAAACCTTCTATATGTGGCAATCATTTTTTGAACAGATTCTTATATATGTGGCAATCATAAACCAAAGTGATATAAGCTCCGACCTTTNCTTCATAATTCTATTAATTTGTGTTAATTATTATCATTTGTTACTTTAAATTGTGTACACTAAAACGTCGAAGATGTTGCAATATATGTAATACAAACTATGCACCTTGTTTAGTTATAAGTTGTGCAAGTGTTAATTATTTTATATGAAATATAAGGATGCATGAGAACAAACTTTACAAAAAAGTAAAAAAAAAAAACTTTACAAAAAGATGACCGTCGGTTTGATCTCTGAAACCTAAGGTAAGAAGACAACTTAACGAACTGAAAATGTATGTAAATCTTAAAAAAATTCTGCAAGTTGGATAATACATAAATCATTCTATAACTGGCCACTATATTTTGAAGAGCCCAAATCCATTTTGTTAAAAACTCAAAAAATCAGAATGTTACAAACCGAGATGAGAATTAATTTTGTCCGGTTTGATTTCAATTAGTAAATGCTGACATGGCTTTTTTTGCCCCCCTTACAAATGCTGATGTGGATGCATGAGAAGGGAGAAAACTCAACTTTATTGTATAAGATATTGTACGTGCTTTTAGTTTTGTTACTGATGAGATTCAAGAGCCTATATATCTCATTAAACAATCTGGGTTTCTTATAAAATTTCTCCCTTTCATATGGCCAAATGCTCTTCACGGACAGGGTTCTAGATGCCTAATTAATCATTTGTTCTTCCCCAATGAGATTCAGCTTGTCTTCAGTCTAGCATAAATCAATTTCAGCTCTTATAAGAAAACACCATATTTTCCATGTTGTCTCTTTCCTGCTTCTGTGTTTGCTCTTCATCTTTGTGTTTTGTTTCGATTAAATCAGACCACGTTGGTATGTAAAAGCCAATGATCCTCCAAATGCAACCAAAGATCTTGTTGCATTCGTAGATAATTTTCCAAGACAAATATCAAACACATATATATGTATATATTGTCTCAAAGGTGAGCACACTATATTTCCTTTCCCCATAAACTGCCCCAAGCTTAATTCTCAAAACTGGCCAAACATATTCACTTCATCTCTTTCTCCTGAAGACATGTGCATGAAACAATTTTCAAGAAAGAAACTCAAGGAAGGCAGGTTTCATCATTGTGATCTCGCTTGAACGTGTTTTAGTTACTCCGTTTCTTACGCTTCCAACAAAGCTATATTGTCTAAAGCATGATGTTAGACAAACAATGCACACAAACAACTCTAACCACTGTGAACATCTATTTCTTCATGTTTATAGCTACAGCAATAACAGATCAGGCTTTTTATAACTAAAACCTAGATTTAAAACTGACTGTGTTTTAATATCTTGCCTGGTTATACCATCCAAAGACACTGCCAAACAAAATAAAATCAAGACTTGAGGACAATGATGAGAATTGGTAACCAAACAAAGCAAAAACCGTAAAATTTCTACAGTTACAGTCCAACCAATTGCCTTAAACTGACTGTTTTAATTTATCAAATAACACGTGATTTTATAATATGGTAAATGTCTCCAAATCATTAGAGACATCTTTATCAAACAGGCCACTCAATTCAATGCTATTTTTTTTTGTACAAGAAGAAGGAAATGGCAGAAGAAGAAGGTAGAAGATTCCAATGTAATGAGTGAAGCTGTCAAAGTCTTTAGCTTCAAATAGTGAAGGCCGCGCGCCACTTTTGAGTTATGCCGTGCATTCAAGCAATCTATTATCATTTTGAGGTGATGCATGCTTTCTTGAATAGTCGTTTTCTTGAAAGTTCCTTTCTTATTTAATTTCTCTGGGTTTTCAGACCAATGGCGTGGTTTTTCATCGCGCATATCATTGTACCAAATCCTACTTTCTACGTCATGTTCTATCACCAAACTGAGGTCTTGCAATTGGACGCCTCTTTTCTAGGTACAGCTCGTGTTATTGGTTGGTTAGGTCTCATGCTTGGAACCTTTTATCTAGCTACAAACGCTATCTGACAAATATGACGACGCAAATCTCTCTCTTGTAAGTGTAAATCTCTTCCCCATACATCAAAAGTTCGTTGCATTTCAGTATCTCCTCCTTAATCAACAAAAACATCTTCGCAGGTTTGTCTCATCGGGCTGTCCTGTCCATAACGATACTCCCGATAACAAATGTGGTTTATGGAGTATCAGACAAGACAATAGTACTCTTCAGATCAGCTCTAGCTTAGTGATGCCATCACTCAACTCAAGTAACGTTGTTGCTTTCCTTCTTTACTTATATGAAATACGCACAACTCTAAAGTCCAATGGAATGGAATATATTTTCGTAAAAGTAAACAAATAGGATAACTGTCAAACATGAGTGATATAAGAGCATGTGCATTAATGACCTCGAGGAAGGGAGTTCATAATGCTTTTTTATTATTTTTTTAATTTTTTTCGTTTATTAAAACAAAAATAAATAAATAAATAAAGTAACCAATCGTGGACTGCTCCGTGGCGTGGATCCCATGAAACAGTGATGACACCGGGTCATCCCAGAGAGTCTGCGTGACGCGGATTCATCAAAACTGCATTATTTTTTCTCGGGATCCGTGTGAACTTCTCTCTGATCCTCTGATGTACATGCTCTAAGTGGCCTTTCAATTTGGCTCCACTGAAAATTAAAAAAAAAAAAAGAAGTAAGACCATCAACAGCCCAAAGACTGTGCACAAATTCTTAAGAATAGTAATTATGAATTTTTATTATTATTGTTATTTTTCTAAAACTGAGAAAAAGAAAAGAAGAGTACAGGTTTATGAACAGTGATGATACTGGCATATATTAATCCTTAGTTAAGGATTTTAAATGACTTTTATGACACAATATATATTATAAAGATACACTTTTAAGGCTCCTAAGCCTATCCACCTCAGTAAGTTTGCGGGCCCCGCACGTGTTATTAGGGAAAACAAAAATGTATAACATTTTGTAAGATTGAATGTTATTGATGAGTGATGAAATGGCCCAATGGTGTAAATTGGTGACGAGAAGTTGGTATCGCGAGTGAACGGGTTCGAACCGCAGTGTTTGCATGTAATTTTTTTTTAAAAAGTTTGGGCTTTTCGGGATACCTAAAAGCTTAAGGAGATTCAGAATGATTTTTTTATGTTGGTTGTGAGATACAAAATGACTTAAAGATTTGAAACTTTATGAGACCATCTTAGATACTTTTATAAGAAAGGTTATCATGTTCTAACCTCCAATATCATTTCAATTCAGTTATAATCGTCAAATAAAATAAAAACATATTTTTCAATTATAAATATTTACCCCGAACCATTCAGATCGGCCATAAATCTTATATACATCACAATTAAACAAAAAATATATATATAAAACATAATTTCAGAAAGAAAATTACACTAATAAACACATGTTCTTTTTTGTCTTGTCTCCATTAAATTATTTTTTATATGAAAGTACTAATAACACTAATGCTCAATAAAATCACTAATAAAGGGAATGCTCGATAAAATCACTACGAAGATAAAATATGAAAATATTAACCCATATGAATTCGATGTTTATTCTTTTATCAGACTAATCAAGTTGTGTGATTTCTAATGTTTCATTCATCACCATTATAGATAAGCCAGATAAACAAATTTTTGAAAAAAAAACAGCAAAGTCTCATACACAAAACTACACAACACATCAACAACGTATCCAATCCCCGCACTTGCGCGGAGACTATGCATCTAGTAACCTAAATAAATGGGCCCTGCATGATTATTATATTAATTCCCATACAGTTAAGGACTAGTTAAAATTTTCCATTGTACATGCTCTAAATATCAGAGTCAGGTTTTGATGTGGGTTATGGGCTCGCCACGTTTCCGCTGCGCCACTTTGATAAGTTTGTTAACTTTTATCGTTAATAACATTTACCTTTGTAAACTCCATTGAACAGAGTTCAGATCACTGAAGTTTGCATGCTAACAAGGTCCCATAATGGATTTGATCAGCTTACATATATGAATATGCAACCATCTTTGTCAGAGAACAAAAAAAAAATGAACAACTGGATTTGGTATATGCCAGTGGTAAAACTTATTAAAGATCATCTACATGTTCAAAACAATTCTGAGTTTAAAAAGAAAAACGAAACAGGAGCAGTTATACACTCCCAAACAAACCGTTTGCATCAAGTGGAAATCAAGACTTATTTTGGTCATATCGATATATCCAAAGAAAGTATATAGTAATGGTCATTTATATAACGAATCACTGTAAAGTCTCTGACATCTTTAAGCGAAGACAAAAGTTAGATTCTGTTTCCCTATTTTCTGATTACAATGACACTAAATCAGATTTTAAGCCTCCCTAAGATTTGCAAGCAAGAATGTCTCCAATTTATCACTGTCCTTGAGAAAAATGGGTCTCTCTCACATTCTCCTGCACGGCCTAATAAAACAAAATCAAACATGAATCTCTACAAAAACAAAAACAAAAAAAAACTTTTGGACAAAATCATCAGTATGGTTTGGTTTCTTTTTCTTTACCTGAAGAAGTTCTGTCATGTTGCCTCGTCCATAACTCGGTATAGGTTTTGACATATGGACTGGATAGACAGGGTGAAGGGCCTGTAACGGCTCAATAGACAGAGCATGCTCCTCTGACTCAGCTTCAGTGAACTGTAATGTAGTATGGTCTTGACCTTTCTCTGTCACTTGTGTAAGCATATAACCGTTACTAGCTCCACTCACTTGAGACTCGGTCTTGGTCTGCATATAACCGTGGTGGACCGGAACCAGTGCTCTAGCCCCACGTTTTTCTCATGTAAACTCGATTTGCGACCACCTTGAGCTTCTGATCCGTGAAGATCCACAAGGTGATTGTCTCTTCTAATCATTGGAACATGAGGAGCAACATCGTTATCAGTCGATACAGGATGGAAGTGACCAGGCTTGAACACCACACCTCTAAGCATGGTATCTGAATCCCCAACCTTAACTGAAAGCAAGAACCCATCGTCAAAGGCTGCTTCAATAACACCAGTAACATGTTGTCCGACCATAGCGTCAATCTGGAGAGACTGGTGCTGACTCCTACTAAACCCTGGAGGAGAGTGGTTGTTGGAGTCATCAGGCTTGTGGTGTTTTCTTGGGCGACCTCGTTTCCGTTTGACCATGAAATATGCAGAGGTGGTGTGGTTGTTCTGCCTAGGGATTTCCTTGTTGTCCATATTTACTCTGAAATAAGATGCAGTGCAAAGTGAGATTCATCACAATTCAGACATAACAACATTAGACATATATTGTCACAGAGAGTAAAGAAATTTCATAGACAAATTAAAATGCTTCTAAACAAATGTTACCAAAAAAAAAAAAAAGATTTTCAAAACTGTGAAATACCTTAGAAATAGCAAACATCAAACTGATTTGTTACCACTTATTACTGATTTGTTACTAATTATTACAGACATTCTACTAAAAAAAAGACTTGGATTTATGAAAAATGAGATCCACTTCTAAATCAAATTCTATTATGGAAGAACATGCAAATCATGTTTAATTAGCTCCTAAATCAGGACGGATTCCTAATTACAAAGTTAGCTCAAAATCAGACCCACTAATCAAACTATAAAAAAAAAGCAACAGAAGTTAACAGTTGCCCTAAAAATCGCAACATGTAAATAATAATCTCTCTTGTGTTCAAAAAAAAAAGTATATAATAATCTCTCTTCCAGTGAAAAGACATATCGCAAAGTATTATTAGCAAGAAAAAAAGGACTTGTGAGAAGACAGCTTTTTACAGTTTCCCATCATATAAATAAAACCAAACCTTCGATTTTTCTGCTCCGCTTCCTTCGATTTATTCAACAAGAGCAAATGAAAATAAATACATTTGAAGAGGAAAAAGAGGGCCCCTGACTTTTAATTACAGAAAAGATTTGTGGATTTAGTGCAAACCCTCTTCTCTCTTGCAATAAACTAAATTAATTGCCTTGCTTTGTTTGGCCTTTTTTATTAGTTAATATTTTTTTAAAAAAAATTAGTAGTCATTTTAAATTTGTACACATAGATTAAAAAATTGTTTAATTTTATATTTTTTTAAAATATAAACACAATTATTTATTTCATATAATCACATTTTACGTAACAAAAATAATAAAACTAATAAATTCTACATGATAAAACGAATAAAATGAATCAGAAGTATTATATCTTTTCTTTAGATATTATTATTTCTGTTTTTTTGTATTGTGCTTTACAAATCACATTCTTTTTTGTAGAGGTCATATATGGGAACTTGGGCTTTGGACGATATATGTAATACAAGGTTTTTATTAAAACTTTAAGCCCAATTAGTTGATAATAAAAATTATTTAAACCTTTTTTTTAAGAGTTGTAGTTATTTTGTTGTCCAAAGAAAGAAAGAATTGTAGTTATCTTTAACTCAAGACAACAATCAATATCTTCATCAATGGAGATCACTTTCCGCATGTTCTAGTCTCTTCTCCTTATTCTTTTGAAAAGAATCACAAGTCACTCTACTATTTCTAATTATTTAATAAAAAACGTGACATTTTATAAACGATTGTTTCGTGAGCAAATAACCTAAACGAAGATAAGAAAAATATAACAATCGAAAGCTTTATCATTATTGCACAAGTCATTTATCACACACCTTCAAGCAAACAACAATCAAAACGAAAAACAACTTTCTAGTGATCAGACACACCACATCCAATTATTCGCATATTATATTATATTGAAAGATATCAAGCGATCCAACTAGGATCCGACCTTAGAACCCGTGGATCTTGATCTGATCCTTCTTAGCAAGCCCAGTCTGAACCAAGAAGTGAGACACTTTCTTCCTCTGATCACCCTGGAGCTGAATGATCTTGCCTAGCTCCTTGTCCTGCACCACGTTCCCGTTGCAGCAGAAGTCTTTCTTGAGATCCTTGAGAATCTTCTCGTAGCTGTACTGTTTCTTCAGACCTTGAACAGTCGTCAAGCTCTTTTTACCATTCCTCTGCTGGATCCGGACGTGGATGTACTCTTTGGTCCCTGGTGCATCTGATTCTTGAGCTTCTGCGAATGGGTCGAATGCTAATGGAACTTGGATGTCTAGCTCAACCATGTAAACTTGGTTACTTTGAAAACAAAGATGTTGGATTCTCTCTGCATAAATGAAATCATAATTGGATGATTAGATCATACAAAAATTAAAAACAGAACAGACTTAAGTTATTCAATAAAACATTACACCTGAACATACCTTGAGATGAAGATAGAAGTCTTTGAGTTTTGTTTTTCAGTTGATGGAGATGAAAGGAGAGGATAGGTGTGTACTTATAGGGGTTTTCTTTTCTAGTTTACCAATTAAGCTTTCTTTTGAGGCGGTTAAATTGTAGCCGTAGATCTACGATTCACTTCAGACACGTGTACAGATAAGAGCTATTCGGTGACCAAGTTGGAGTATAGAATAATTGCTTCATCGCTTACAATAAACGCGCAACTCTCACTGGGGTCCATTAAGAGAGGTAATTTGATAAGAAAGGAATATTTTAAAAATGGTAGCGTGTACTGAGCCACAAGTGGGTGGGTCCCTATGCAACAATCGCTAAGAAGATTCGCGACGTCAGTTACTTTATCAAGTTTCAGACAAGAAAAACGTTTTTTCCTCTTAAACGGTTTACACATAAATTAGTGGAGCCCACAAAACATGTCTACTACCGGCAAAACGGTGGAATGTATGAACAAGCTCATATCAGTCATCAGTGAAATAAAACATTTTTGGCCAATACAATTTTGCTTATTAATTTTTTGCTGACATCAAGCGCAGGCTGTAGGTAATGTTTAAAATGACAAAATGAATATATCAAAGCAATATGAGGCTCTATTTGCAATCATTCATGCGAGTGAGTCGTCACTAATTTGCCGCATACAGGATCAATAGGCCTCACTAATGGGCCATTTCCTTGACACATAAGGGCTCTCAGTAATGGGCCCATCAGAGATAAAACTGTTCTGTGATAAACACATGAGGGCCCTCAGTAGTTTTACCCAAAAATTCAACAGTCAAATACCGTCTTAACCAATATAATAACACTAAGCAAAACATAGAATATAGACTTTTTATAAAGATTTTCTATATTGTTTGCTCTGCATTTCTTTTAATTTGAACTATAAGACTTGAAACAAATAGAAAAAAAAAACATCGATTCTTTAAAAACCAAAAAAACAATCACATAAAAACGTTTTTTTATCTTTAGTTGAAAATAATGAAAATATAATTTTATTTAATAAGTACATTAAGTTTACTTAATTATGAGTCTTTTTAATAACTAGGTGCGAGCATAATTTTCTTACGAATATTTATTATTTTTTCTTTTATTAATTCTAAATAATATTATAAGTTATTTTTTATAGTTGTAAAAAAACTAAACAAAACATTAAAATGTTTTTATATGAATTTGCATCAAAATATATATGCTTATTATAGTGTTGAAAAACATCCACATAATAAAATATTTTTGAAATGTATTTATATTTTTTCTTAATATTTAATTTTAAATTGTTTTATAACTTACATTTTTATTTTTCATAATAAAAAGATTATTTTCAGATAACTGTATAATATTCTATAAGATATCTTATGTTTTAAATATGCATGAATGTGGATAATTATCATATTAATATATAATAAATTAATTAATATAATAACATATAAATTTCTATCACTAACATAAAATTCGTTTTTAACTAACTTATATATAAATATATAAATTTTATTAAAGGTATCATTAACTTGAATTGTTCTACTTTTTAATATCTAATATTTAATTATATAATTAAAAGTATCTTTACACAAATATTTTTGTTTGATTAATATTTAATTAAAATTCATTTTTATATTGCAATTTTAAAATTTATAATAGAATGATATTATTTTCAAAAGCTAAAATCAATTATATATAAAATTAAGATCTATAAACATTACCATATTGTTACAATATTATATTTAGATAATAATAACATATATAAGAATTACCTTATTTTTTTGATCTTTTATAAACTTATTATATTAATAAATCCTCAGTTATCTAAGATAATAACATACTAATCTAATTTTATTTTTTAAATTTCGTTTTTAATTATAAAATTAGTTATATATAAAAATTTGATTAAGGATAATATCGATATTAACAGCTCTAACTTTAAACGTGAGAGCTCTGTTACGAAAAATCACTTTGCAAATAATAATATAGATTTAACAAATTTAAGTAGACCTATAAAACAACAACAACAAAAATTATGGATTCATGGATATGAGCCGGGCACTATTCAAGGATCCGACCCGTTTTTAGGAAGCACTGAAGTGAAAGAAGAAGACACGTCCGCGAAAAAAAAAAAAAACACGTGATGAGGTGTGAAAACCACGTGATTACCAAAAAAAACAACTCCCGCTTCTTGATAACCTTTGAAAACCCTAATGAGAGAGACGCATCTTTTCCCTCTCATCCCAATTTCACACCTCTCCAATTCCCGCCCCCTCTCCCTCCACTACAAATTCACCAATCCCTTATCCCCAAACCCTTCCTCAATCCCTCACACATCTCCTCAAAATATCTCATCTCTCTCTCAATCGATCCTCCACAATCGCCATCACCATGAAAGACATCTCCAGATCTCCCGCGAGAAAGAACGACGGATTCCACCGCTACCTGAAACCAGGCGCGCTTGCTCAGATCCGAAACTCCAGAATCAACACCAGATCATCCACCTCTCTCCTCTCCCTCTCCCTCTCGCCTCCGATCGATCCACCTTCTCAGCAGGCGAACAATCTGACGGTGGAGCAGGTGCCGCATCTCCTGAGGAAGATCTACGGTCCCTACAGTTACCAGAGGAAGAAGCTAGGCGCTGCGAGATCATCGATGATGATGATGGTTAATTTGAACAACAACCCTATGATAATTGAATCTTCAAGTGGCGGAAACAGTAGTGATGTAATTGCTCATTGAATTAATGTATAATTTCCTTTTGTGTGTAAGTTATTGTTGTGATACAATTTGGGGGGTGGAATAATGTTTTATACTCGTTTAAGAAGACTTTATTATATTATACAGATCACTGAATTTTCGATATACCATGTGTTTATCATTTAATTTAATTTTCTCTTGTGTGGGAATCATTTGGGGGATCTTAATGGTTTGGATCTAACCTAGTTGTTATTGTTATAGGAGATTAGTTAATATACTCAATTGAGTTTAATTATGTGAAGATTAATCTTATGAGCCCTAAGAGAACATAAATGTTTATCTCGAGTTTCCTGTCTCGTTGACGTAGGCTAATTTCCATTTCTCTGCTTTTCTTAGCCTAAATCCTTTCTGTGCTAAATGTTTGAGGGTTTTGCTGTCTTGATTTGATTAGTAAAAAAGTTTTGTTATGTGTCTTCTCTTGTTGTTGAAAGGTGGAACTGAATCTCATTTGCTTAGAGTCTGTCTAAGTGGTTATCTTGACTTGTTTGAATGCGTAGTTTATGCTTCTCTCTATCTGTTGCGTTAAGGTATTTGTCTCAGCTCCTATGGCGAAACTAGAATCCCTTAAACGATTATGCAATTGGTTCTGATACAATGCTTGGTTCCTTTAATAACCTTTGAATAGTTCAGGGATTGAACAAAAACTGATGGTAACGAGGGAAGGAATGGTGATGTTCATCATGAGAATGCGTCTTAAAGAGTACTGTACGCTTTAGAGCCAATTCATAGTAGTTCTTGAGGTTGAGTATGTAGAAATATAAGGCTCAAGCTTTGGAATGTGATGATGCTGATGATGGCCTTGAAATAGACAAGATTGTGAATCCTCAAACCATAGATTATCCCTTTTAAGTGCTAAACGTTTGTAGATTGCTTTGATGAATAAACGATGTTTGTGTATATATTTCCCTTATGGTTAAAACTTTGTCTATATGGTTTCTTCGCTTGTTTCAATGGGTAGTAATGCGTCTTGATACATTCAGATACTGGCTCCGATCATATGGTTTAGCTTGAATCTATTCTGATTATGCAATTGGTACTTCTGATACAACGCTTGTTTCATGTCAACAATGTTTGACTTGTCAAGAGACTGATGATTGATGACGAGGGAAAGAATGGTGCTGTTAATCATGAGAATGTGTCTAACATGATCCCTGAAGGTGATAACCTTGAGTAGACCCAATATTGTGTAGGAATCCTCGAGAAATTATAGCTAAAACGTCCATGGAACTTTTAGATCTAACCGGTTAAATCAGTTGAAAGAAGTATTAAATGAACAAGTCCTTGCAGTAAATTTGATTTAAGGTTGATGCTCTTTGTTACATCCACAAGAACACATGCATAAAAGTCTATACCTAACTTTTAAGTACGGCGTACACGTAACAGTCTATACATTAAAAAAGTTACATGAACTATCTGGTTATTTTTGTGGGACCAAAAAAATCCTGATGGATTCAGAGATTTGTATTCTTTACGAATGTACGATCAGAAGACCATTCTCAAGTTCATTTAAATTGTGGTTGAATCAACAGGAGTCTTTGCTACCTCAAGTTCATTTGGGCACAATCTGTTTAACTCGTCCTCACCTCTACAAAGTTGGATGATAAGTTAATGTGGGTACCTGATGCATCAGGCGTTTATACCACCAAAACAGGCTATGCACACTGGTCATACAGAACAACCAAGTCTTCTCACAGGAGAGTTTGACTAGCTGGTCAGACTTTGGCAAATCCGAACAGCTCCAAAGATCACAATGTTCATGTGGAAGTTGTTGATAAAAGCTCTGCCTCTCGGCAACAACCTGTTAGCTAGGGGTTCGAGGATGACTTGAGATGTAAGCGTTTTACTTAATAAGATATGAGTTTGCAGATCATAGTTTTGCTTGAAAAATGTGCAATTTACAACACATTAAAAGAAAATGTAACAAAGACAATTGTCTTTACTTTATTTTATATCAATTATTAAACAAATAAGAATCCAAAAAGTGATTCATATGCCAGATGTCTATCTCTCTCACTCCCAACAACCACCGCACTTGCCTACTCTCTGTTACTTATTCCACTACCAAAATTTATTTGGGAAACACTCTCTAACATCATCTCTCAAAAAATTATATTTTAAAGTTTACAAAATTATATATTTAAAATTTAAACATGTTCTTTTTAGAATTAAAATTTCAAGCTTAGTTTTAAAAAACTATATTTGTCATAAGTATTTTAAATTCATAAAAGTTTTATAAATTACTAGCACATATATAAAAAAAATTATCTAATTCATATTCACATATCTTGTCTTCTCATTACAAATG